TAAAAAACATTTTTCAGCTAAAATTGAGGAAGGACTTGATTTTGAAACTGCAATATGCAATGACAAAACTTATAATGATGTCAATTTAGTGCAAGTGGTTACAGAAAAAAATTAAATTGTAATAAACGACAAATAAACTCAGCACTTGGAATTGAAGGAAAAGATTATAAAACTTCAAAAGGAAATTCGATTGAAGAAAATCAAATCCACCATACCCCAGCATTTCAAAGAATGTCAAAACTTACCGTTATTTATTTATTTTGCACACCCCTGGCGCCGTGTCAAGAAATTGTGGGATAGTTTTTTCAAACATTAGCTTATATAATTTTATTTCTTCGAATATATGATAATATCCCGAAAATTGCTAACATTAAAAACAATTTTTGAGTTAATTTTGCGAAGGACTTGATTTTGAAACTGCAATATGCAATGCCAAAACTTATAATGGTTTACAAATTAGTACAAGTGCTTACAGAAAAAAATTAAAGGGTAATAAACGACAGATAAACTCAGCACTTGGAATTGAAGGAAAAGGTTATAAAACTACTTAAGGAAATTTGGTTCGAACGAAAATCAAATCCACCATACTCCAGCATCTCAAAGAATGTCAAAACTTACCGTTATTTATTTATTTTGCACACCCCTGGCGCCGTTTCAAGAAACTTTATGAAAGTTTTTTAGATTCTGAGTGAAACGATGAATGTATTGATTTTACAATGATGTGTGATTTTTTATTTATTTATTTTTTTATTTATTTTATTTTTGTGTCTGTGTACACGATAAGTAGTCGAAATAATGCTTCGATTTTCAACTTCAGTATATTGTTCGATTGGAAAGTGAATATCGTTGGTGCATTGGGAAGGTCAAAATTTAAAATTCCCAATGGTTTTCAAAAGCGCCGGGAAAAATAACAAAATAATTAAGGAAAAACGGGAATTTTCACTCAAAATCGGTTTTTGACAAAATCGAATTTGGTTTTTGGTGTACCTTTAAGACAAATGACTGTAGGAACATGAAATTTTGACTGGTTGTTTATATTTGCCTTTTCTATACACGATAACATTTTCAAAATATTTTGATTTCTTTTGAACTGTTTAGGGACATTTTCCATTTTTTTTTAGTTTTTTTTCTAAAAATATCAATAAAATTTTATTTGTTGGGTAAAAAAGCTTGAAAATTTGATAGAAGGCTCCTAGTATATTGTTTCAAAGGCAGATGAAAAATATTAAAAATCTTTAGTAACAGTTTTTTTTTATAAGCATTTAAAGTTCAAAAATTGACAAAATATGGAAAAATCACAAAAATTAGCAAATTATTTTGAGTTAAGAATTCGTAAACATTTTTCTTTTTAAATCTAAGATTTCAAAATTTAATTCAAGATTCCTTATAGGATTATCTACGTTTATCAATAAAAAAATCTCTACCGGAAAAACAAATTAAATTTTTATGAGCGTTTAAAGTTCATAATTTTACAATATTGGATATTCACTCGATTTCTCATGTAGCGATTTCCTTATTTTGTTGTAATTCAAAAACGAATAACTGTAGATACATGAAAATTTCACTGAATGTTTATATTAGTATTTCCTATACACCATACATTTTGAAAATATTTTGACTCTTTTTGAGCTGTTTATGGGTATTTACAGTTTTCAATTTTTTTATTTTTTTTTCTATAAATATCAATAAAGTTTTATCTGTTGTGCCAAAAAGTGTAAAAATTTAATACGAAACTCTTGATATATTTTTACAATAGCAGTTGAAAAATATTAAAAATACATAGGCACAGTTTTTTTTTTATAAGCATTTAAAGATCAAATCTGGACAGAATTTATCAAAATCTCGAAAATATTATCAATAATTGTAATTAATAAATTATAAAATGTTCAGTTTTTATAGCTAAGGATTGAAAATTTAAAACAAGATTCCATGAAAGTCGTTGATTCTGTTACCAAAAAATCTAAAAAATACACAATCACAATTTATTTTTATATTCATTTTAAGTTCAAATTTGGACGAAATTACATAAAAACCTAGAATAACTATTTTAGTTATTTTATTGTGATTGTATAATATTATTCGTGGGCACTTGAAACTTCTAAAGCGTACTATTATATATCTATGATAGTATCACGGTTTGTTGTTGAGGTATAACGCGTTATAAGTACCTAATGGATATTGTGATATGATTAATTTTGGAATTTATTATAGGTACCTACTCGTATTATAGGTCAATTTTTTTTTTAATACCATAGAAATGTATATAATATGTGTTAAACCTATACTGACTACCGTCTCCACTCAGAATCGTTTTTCATATACAATGATATTATATTATCATTGAATTCAAATTTAATACCATCCATTATACAGTGACCAACTTGTAACCTACAGTACAGCAGAGCGACATCCACTTGCCCACCTTTTTTTAAACATTAGTTCATATAATTTTTTTTCTTCGAATATATTATGATATTATCCCGTATCATGCTTACATAAAAAACATTTTTCAGCTAAAATTGAGGAAGGACTTGATTTTGAAACTGCAATATGCAATGCCAAAACTTATAATGGTTTACAAATTAGTGCAAGTGGTTACAGAAAAAAATTAAATTGTAATAAACGACAAATAAACTCAGCACTTGGAATTGAAGGAAAAGATTATAAAACTACAAAAGGAAATTCGATTGAAGAAAATCAAATCCACCATACCCCAGCATCTCAAAGAATGTCAAACCTTACCGTTATTTATATTGCACACCCCCGGTGCCGTTTCAAGAAATTTTATTTCAATTTTCAATCATTAATTTGTTCAAATAATTTTTTTTTCTTCGAATATATTATGATATTATCCCGAATCGTGCTAACAATAAACACATTTTTTGAGTTAATTTTGACGAAGGACTTGATTTTGAAACTGCAATATGCAATGACAAAACTTAAAATGATTTACAAATTAGTACAAGTGCTTACAGAAAAAAATTAAAGGGTAATAAACGACAAATAAACTCAGCACTTGGAATTGAAGGAAAAGATTATAAAACTACAAAAGGAAATTCGATTGAAGAAAATCAAATCCACCATACCCCAGCATGTCAAAGAATGTCAAAACTTACCGTTATTTATTTATTTTGCACACCCCTGGCGCCGTGTCAAGAAATTGTGGGATAGTTTTTTCAAACATTAGCTTATATAATTTTATTTCTTCGAATATATGATAATATCCCGAAAATTGCTAACATTAAAAACAATTTTTGAGTTAATTTTGCGAAGGACTTGATTTTGAAACTGCAATATGCAATGCCAAAACTTATAATGGTTTACAAATTAGTACAAGTGCTTACAGAAAAAAATTAAAGGGTAATAAACGACAGATAAACTCAGCACTTGGAATTGAAGGAAAAGGTTATAAAACTACTTAAGGAAATTTGGTTCGAACGAAAATCAAATCCACCATACTCCAGCATCTCAAAGAATGTCAAAACTTACCGTTATTTATTTATTTTGCACACCCCTGGCGCCGTTTCAAGAAACTTTATGAAAGTTTTTTAGATTCTGAGTGAAACGATGAATGTATTGATTTTACAATGATGTGTGATTTTTTATTTATTTTATTTTTGTGTCTGTGTACACGATAAGTAGTCGAAATAATGCTTCGATTTTCAACTTCAGTATATTGTTCGATTGGAAAGTGAATATCGTTGGTGCATTAGGAAGGTCAAAATTTAAAATTCCCAATGGTTTTCAAAAGCGCCGGGAAAAATAACAAAAAAATTAAGGAAAAAACGGGAATTTTTACTCAAAATCGGTTTTTGACAAAATCGAATTTGGTTTTTGGTGTACCTTTAAGACAAATGACTGTAGGAACATGAAATTTTGACTGGTTGTTTATATTTGCCTTTTCTATACACGATAACATTTTCAAAATATTTTGATTTCTTTTGAACTGTTTAGGGACATTTTCCATTTTTTTTTAGTTTTTTTTCTAAAAATATCAATAAAATTTTATTTGTTGGGTAAAAAAGCTTGAAAATTTGATAGAAGGCTCCTAGTATATTGTTTCAAAGGCAGACGAAAAATATTAAAAATCCTTAGTCACAGTTTTTTTTATAAGCATTTAAAGTTCAAAAATTGACAAAATATGGAAAAATCACAAAAATTAGCAAATTATTTTGAGTTAAGAATTCGTAAACATTTTCTTTTTAAATCTAAGATTTCAAAATTTAATTCAAGATTCCTTATAGGATTCTCTACGTTTATCAATAAAAAAATCTCTACCGGAAAAACAAATTCAATTTTTATGAGCGTTTAAAGTTCATAATTTTACAATATTGGATATTCACTCGATTTCTCATGTAGCTATTTCCTTATTTTGTTGTAATTCAAAAACGAATAACTGTAGATACATGAAAATTTCACTGAATGTTTATATTAGTATTTCTTATACACCATACAATTTTGAAAATATTTTGACTCTTTTTGAGCTGTTTATGGGTATTTACAGTTTTCAATTTTTTTATTTTTTTTTCTATAAATATCAATAAAGTTTTATCTGTTGTGCCAAAAAGTGTAAAAATTTAATACGAAACTCTTGATATATTTTTACAATAGCAGTTGAAAAATATTAAAAATACATAGGCACAGTTTTTTTTTATAAGCATTTAAAGATCAAATCTGGGGGCCTATTCTCAAAGGTATCGAAAACAGTTTTCGATGGAAAATCAGTCGAAAAGACTGATGGTTTCGACATTTACAAAAAAAGACTATTCTCAAACGGTTTTCGACTGTTAATTCGATAGTAGTTTTCGACTATTTACAACGACAGCGGATTATGAGTCGAAAATGGTTTTCGACACATAATTTCCAATTGAATTCCATTGTTTATCAGGTTTAATATTGTTAAACTGTTAAATATATTTTATTTCATTGCCGATTTAAAATACTTTTAACTTTCTTAGTCATTTTTTCTATTACCGATAATAGTTATACTAGTGTTAGTTATGGCATTTGTTGATGACGATTTAGAAATGTATATGCAATTGAATGGCATAGTAAATATGGAAATCGTCAATTTTATTGACGATAATGAACCAAGACGAATATTAAAACAAGAAGATCCTTTTGTTGGTAGGTCCAACCTTTATTATAACTAATATTTTTTATAACGAAGGACAAATACATAGTTTATTATTCATATCAATTTATTAAGCGGACTTACTAAAATCCTTTTCTTTTAATTTTATACTGTTAACTAATTTAAATTTGGAACCAAACATATTATTTCTTTCAGAATTGTCAGATCGGAAGTTTATTGGTACTTATCGTTTAAGTAAGCAATTAGTTGAAGAACTTATAGATACATTGACTCCTTACATGAATAGTCCAATGACGTCTTCAGGGATAACTATAAAAAGAAAAGTTAAATGCTATCTATTGATTATTGAGCATAGGCGCAACTAAGGGTAACAATGCTTGTGGGGGGGGGGGTGCTTCTTCACAATTTTGTTAAGTAATTCAGTCGATTTTTAAACAAAAAACTGTGGGGGGGGTTATTTGTAAAACTGGGGGGACTTAGCCCCCTCCCCCTAGTTGCGCCTATGGTATTGAGATTAGGCACTATTAGTTTGGCTATAATGACTTAGTAAATAATAATCAAAAAATATTTTCATTTAAGGTATTAACAGCTCTAAGATTTTTTGCTAGTGGGAGTTATCAGCAGGATATTGGGGAACACAGAGGTGCAGCCCTTAGTCAACCCTCAGTTAGTAGATGTATTACTGAAGTTGCAGAAGCATTAAATAATCCTATAATATTAAATAAATACATACATTTCCCAAGCACTATAGAACAACTTAATATTATTCGACAAGGGTAATTAAATTTTTTTAATTTCTTAATTTAAGTATTAAGTATATATAGGTAGTACATGATTTAGATTTTACAACAAATTTGGAATACCAGGAGTTATTGGAGTTATAGATGGAACTCATGTGGCTATTGTACCACCCAATACCGCCGATGATGTATATCCAGAACATATATATGTTAACCGGAAAGGTTATCATAGCATAAATACACAACTTGTGAGTTTATAAAATATAAAATATAATTTATGTTTGGAAGGTATATTATTAAAAAAATTCATTAGATATGTGATTCCGATTTAATGATCTTAAATGTATGTGCTAAATTTCCGGGGAGTACGCACGACAGTCATATTTGGCGTCTTAGCCCTGTAGAAGGCCCTATGAAACATTTACATGCAATTGGACAAACATCATACTTCTTACTAGGTACACAATCTCAATTTTTTTTTATTGTTAACATTTTTGAAGTTTTTAATATATTTTACTGGCAGGGGATTCTGGATATCCATTGAGACAGTGGTTATTGACTCCATTGTATCAACCACAACCAAACACTCCAGAAGCTAACTATAATAAATGGTTTTGCAGAACAAGATCAATCATTGAACGTTGTAATGGGGTTCTTAAAATGAGGTTTAGGTAAATTTATATATAATAGTATAAAAATAATAAATGTAATAATTAATAGGGCTATTTACTTTTTAATATCTATTTTAGATGCTTACTTAAACATAGGGTACTTCACTACTCACCAGAAAAAGCTGCCATTATAATTAACTCATGTACCATATTACATAATATTAGCATTTCTAATAAAATACCAATAATTAGAAATATAGAAGACTCGACTGATATAGATTTAGGTAATATAGACAATGATCCAGAAGTTGAACAAATAGTCAACAGAATTAATCCAGAACTCACTGCTGGAAAACGGATGCAACAAACAATAATTGATTTATATTTTAAATAAGTCCAGAAAATTCACAAATTATTTAAATACCAATAGTGTAAGAAATAACAATTTATATTATATACATTTAAATAAACAAATCTTATAAAAAAAGACTTTGCAGAATAACAAAACAAAAAATAAAAGTATCTTATATTCAGTCTGATTATATTAGTTTCATTATCACAAAATTAAAACTAAACTAAAAAAAACAACTTTTTCAATACAATGTAATAATAATATACATATAGTAACGATCAACAAAATAAAATATTTTTTAACAAAATGTTATAAACTTATAAATACTAGGTAATGATTAATTTTTATCTGCATTAATCTGCATATTCATTTTTTTCTCCATTATTGCTATTTTTTTTTCTTTTGCAATAGCAATTCTCTCTAAAAGAACTAACTTTTTAGAGCAATAATCTTTTAGAATTGCATTCCTCTCATCAAATGTATTGCCAACTTGAATAGAAGCATTGACCGATTTTTGTAGAATATTAAGTTTACTAGAAAAGGTTTAATTGAATACCCACATAATGTAATATACTATATGAATCGTTAAATATAGAAATGGCACATGTACAATATTTTACAAAAATCACTTAATTGCATTATTATCAAATTTAATATTAATATTTTATATGCTTTTTCCAAAAAGATGCATAGAAAAATTTCAAATTGCACTAAAGTAATTGTAGATGTTTCAACTAATATAAGATTTAAAAATATGTAAAGTAGAAAATAGATTTATATTAGAGTATTAAGCAAAAAATAAGTAACTCCATAATAACAGACTTTCACCAGTTTATCACTTTAATTTTTTTGGACACACCTGGTTTTACCCTACCATAAAACAATATTTTTGTATCCATAAAACCTGTAACTTTAGTTTCATCTACATAAAGTTTAAGTTTTAAATTCCCTTAATAATTAGAAAATAATTTTAGTTTTTTTTTTTAAATAATGAATAAACTGTTAAAAATAAAAATGAAAACAAATTTAAAAATGAATCAACATACTTAAAATTACAGATTGTTAGGTACCAAACTTAGCACTTAATACTAATAATACTAATGCAATACAAAGTTTACACGGCACACCGCAACAAAACATTTATACAACCAATAATGTTTTTAAGTAAAAACAATGTAATTTCCATATAAATTCATAAAAATAATACCTTTTTTTACTAGTGAATTTAATACCATCTTCATTCTTTTGAGATCTATAAGCATAAAAATAGTAATTAAAACTTATTTTGTACATATAAAATAAGCAACAAACATTAGACACTTACATATCAATGTCTTTATTTAAAAATGCATTTGTAGTTGGCCTATAAAACATTAATTTTGTTCATATAAAAATGAGTTAAAGATTTATTATACTAACATTTATAATTTATAGTATTATAATGATTTAAACACTTACATTTCCATGTCTTTGTGCAAAAAATCATTTGATGATGATTGAATTTCCTGTGGTAATATTTCAGTTGACCTATCAAATATTAATTTTTATTGGTGCTATGTACTATAATAGTTATTGCTTAATAGAATATATACTAATGTTGTAATTAAAGAAAATACAGTTAATGCTTATAGCAAAATATTATCAGTAGTATCCATAACAATTTCATATCCCTCAAAAGTAATTGAAGGTTCCACTGTATTAGGGTGGCCAAAAATGGGGACATCTCCAATTAAAGTAGCAATTTTTTCTTCTAATGGAGCTAATTCTAATTCATCTGTTTTTCCACTTCCTCCCCCAGTTTTTCTTAAATTTTTTTTTAGATCAACGCTCTTTGTTTTTGCATTACATTTCATGTCAGTCCAACACTAATTGTGTAACAAATAAAATGTTAAACAATAATTAGTAACTAATGAAATACTTATTGTTAATTAATATTTGTCAATACCTTTCTCCACTTATCTGCCGTTTTATTTGCACCAATCATGGAGTTTAAATTTGAAGCTATTTGTTCCCAAAGTTGTTGAGCATTTTTGTGGGTAAATTGTGAGTTGAATTTACCTTTTTTTAGTTGTACATTGTTCTCTAAGAATTCGACAAGAGCTTCCTTCTGTGCATAAGTCACAGACTTTCCTTTTATTTTTCTATCAGCCATAATGCAAATCACTTAATCGCTTATGATCCAATACTATAGTATAGCCATCGTAAGAACGCTACTGGGCGGCGACCAAAATTCATCCGATCTCGCGCATTCCCACCACTAAACCTTCCCGAACGCTGGCCGCCGTCAACTCTGGCCGCCGCCACTGTCGCCGTCATCGCTACTGTCGCTGCCACTACTGCCTATTTACGGTGGCGACTAGATGGTAGAGTGGGAGAAACTTGGGTACGAAACTGCGGAGCTCGGTCATTTGGATGCGCGAACGAGTAGCGTTCTTACGATGGCTATACTATAGTTTAAAACTATACGTATAATGTAGATTTAAACTGTAAGACTACCTAGTACCTACCTATAACATTTTTTAATTTTTATTATAATATAAACTTTAGTATCATGAAATAAGATAAAAATTTCAAATTTCATGGAAAAAAAAATAACTTTTTTCGATGATCGGAAACACTGTCGAATAAAATTTATTCGATTCATCAAGATTCGATAAATGTTTGAGAATACGATTGATCGAAAATTTGAGAACGAATCAATTATTTCGATCGAAAGTTGACAATCGAATAAATATTTTCGACAACCAATTTCGATTGATTTGAGAATAGGCCCCCTGGACAGAATTTATCAAAAACTCGAAAATATTATCAACAATTGTAATTAATAAATTATAAAATGTTCAGTTTTTATAGCTAAGGATTGAAAATTTAAAACAAGATTCCATGAAAGTCGTTGATTCTGTTACCAAAAAATCTAAAAAATACACAATCACAATTTATTTTTATATTCATTTTAAGTTCAAATTTGGACGAAATTACATAAAAACCTAGAATAACTATTTTAGTTATTTTGTTGTGATTGTATAATATTATTCGTGGGCACTTGAAACTTCTAAAGCGTACTATTATATATCTATGATAGTATCACGGTTTGTTGTTGAGGTATAACGCGTTATAAGTACCTAATGGATATTGTGATATGATTAATTTTGGAATTTATTATAGGTACCTACTCGTATTATAGGTCAATTTTTTTTTTAATACCATAGAAATGTATATAATATGTGTTAAACCTATACTGACTACCGTCTCCACTCAGAATCGTTTTTCATATACAATGATATTATATTATCATTGAATTCAAATTTAATACCATCCATTATACAGTGACCAACTTGTAACCTACAGTACAGCAGAACGACATCCACTTGCCCACCTTTTTTTAAACATTAGTTCATATAATTTTTTTTCTTCGAATATATTATGATATTATCCCGTATCATGCTTACATAAAAAACATTTTTCAGCTAAAATTGAGGAAGGCCTTGATTTTGAAACTGCAATATGCAATGACAAAACTTATAATGATGTCAATTTAGTGCAAGTGGTTACAGAAAAAAATTAAATTGTAATAAACGACAAAAAAACTCAGCACTTGGAATTGAAGGAAAAGATTATAAAACTACAAAAGGAAATTCGATTGAAGAAAATCAAATCCACCATACCCCAGCATGTCAAAGAATGTCAAAACTTACCGTTATTTATTTATTTTGCACACCCCTGGCGCCGTGTCAAGAAATTGTGGGATAGTTTTTTCAAACATTAGCTTATATAATTTTATTTCTTCGAATATATGATAATATCCCGAAAATTGCTAACATTAAAAACAATTTTTGAGTTAATTTTGCGAAGGACTTGATTTTGAAACTGCAATATGCAATGCCAAAACTTATAATGGTTTACAAATTAGTACAAGTGCTTACAGAAATAAATTAAAGGGTAATAAACGGCAGATAAACTCAGCACTTGGAATTGAAGGAAAAGGTTATAAAACTACTTAAGGAAATTTGGTTCGAACGAAAATCAAATCCACCATACTCCAGCATCTCAAAGAATGTCAAAACTTACCGTTATTTATTTATTTTGCACACCCCTGGCGCCGTTTCAAGAAACTTTATGAAAGTTTTTTAGATTCTGAGTGAAACGATGAATGTATTGATTTTACAATGATGTGTGATTTTTTATTTATTTATTTTTTTATTTATTTTATTTTTGTGTCTGTGTACACGATAAGTAGTCGAAATAATGCTTCGATTTTCAACTTCAGTATATTGTTCGATTGGAAAGTGAATATCTTTGGTGCATTGGGAAGGTCAAAATTTAAAATTCCCAATGGTTTTCAAAAGCTCCGGGAAAAATAACAAAAAAATTAAGGAAAAACTGGAATTTTTACGCAAAATCGGTTTTGACAAAATCGAATTTGGTTTTTGGTGTACCTTTAAGACAAATGACTGTAGGAACATGAAATTTTGACTGGTTGTTTATATTTGCCTTTTCTATACACGATAACATTTTCAAAATATTTTGATTTCTTTTGAACTGTTTAGGGACATTTTCCATTTTTTTTAGTTTTTTTTCTAAAAATATCAATAAAATTTTATTTGTTGGGTAAAAAAGCTTGAAAATTTGATAGAAGGCTCCTAGTATATTGTTTCAAAGGCAGATGAAAAATATTAAAAATCTTTAGTAACAGTTTTTTTTATAAGCATTTAAAGTTCAAAAATTGACAAAATATGGAAAAATCACAAAAATTAGCAAATTATTTTGAGTTAAGAATTCGTAAAAATTTTTCTTTTTAAATCTAAGAAGATTTCAAAATTTAATTCAAGATTCCTTATAGGATTATCTACGTTTATCAATAAAAAAATCTCTACCGGAAAAACAAATTAAATTTTTATGAGCGTTTAAAGTTCATAATTTTACAATATTGGATATTCACTCGATTTCTCATGTAGCGATTTCCTTATTTTGTTGTAATTCAAAAACGAATAACTGTAGATACATGAAAATTTCACTGAATGTTTATATTAGTATTTCTTATACACCATACAATTTTGAAAATATTTTGACTCTTTTTGAGCTGTTTATGGGTATTTACAGTTTTCAATTTTTTTATTTTTTTTTCTATAAATATCAATAAAGTTTTATCTGTTGTGCCAAAAAGTGTAAAAATTTAATACGAAACTCTTGATATATTTTTACAATAGCAGTTGAAAAATATTAAAAATACATAGGCACAGTTTTTTTTTATAAGCATTTAAAGATCAAATCTGGACAGAATTTATCAAAATCTCGAAAATATTATCAATAATTGTAATTAATAAATTATAAAATGTTCAGTTTTTATAGCTAAGGATTGAAAATTTAAAACAAGATTCCATGAAAGTCGTTGATTCTGTTACCAAAAAATCTAAAAAATACACAATCACAATTTATTTTTATATTCATTTTAAGTTCAAATTTGGACGAAATTACATAAAAACCTAGAATAACTATTTTAGTTATTTTATTGTGATTGTATAATATTATTCGTGGGCACTTGAAACTTCTAAAGCGTACTATTATATATCTATGATAGTATCACGGTTTGTTGTTGAGGTATAACGCGTTATAAGTACCTAATGGATATTGTGATATGATTAATTTTGGAATTTATTATAGGTACCTACTCGTATTATAGGTCAATTTTTTTTTAATACCATAGAAATGTATATAATATGTGTTAAACCTATACTGACTACCGTCTCCACTCAGAATCGTTTTTCATATACAATGATATTATATTATCATTGAATTCAAATTTAATACCATCCATTATACAGTGACCAACTTGTAACCTACAGTACAGCAGAACGACATCCACTTGCCCACCTTTTTTTTAACATTAGTTCATATAATTTTTTTTCTTCGAATATATTATGATATTATCCCGTATCATGCTTACATAAAAAACATTTTTCAGCTAAAATTGAGGAAGGCCTTGATTTTGAAACTGCAATATGCAATGACAAAACTTATAATGATGTCAATTTAGTGCAAGTGGTTACAGAAAAAAATTAAATTGTAATAAACGACAAATAAACTCAGCACTTGGAATTGAAGGAAAAGATTATAAAATTACAAAGGAAATTCGATTGAAGAAAATCAAATCCACCATACCCCAGCATGTCAAAGAATGTCAAAACTTACCGTTATTTATTTATTTTGCACACCCCTGGCGCCGTGTCAAGAAATTGTGGGATAGTTTTTTCAAACATTAGCTTATATAATTTTATTTCTTCGAATATATGATAATATCCCGAAAATTGCTAACATTAAAAACAATTTTTGAGTTAATTTTGCGAAGGACTTGATTTTGAAACTGCAATATGCAATGCCAAAACTTATAATGGTTTACAAATTAGTACAAGTGCTTACAGAAAAAAATTAAAGGGTAATAAACGACAGATAAACTCAGCACTTGGAATTGAAGGAAAAGGTTATAAAACTACTTAAGGAAATTTGGTTCGAACGAAAATCAAATCCACCATACTCCAGCATCTCAAAGAATGTCAAAACTTACCGTTATTTATTTATTTTGCACACCCCTGGCGCCGCTTCAAGAAACTTTATGAAAGTTTTTTAGATTCTGAGTGAAACGATGAATGTATTGATTTTACAATGATGTGTGATTTTTTATTTATTTATTTTTTATTTATTTTATTTTTGTGTCTGTGTACACGATAAGTAGTCGAAATAATGCTTCGATTTTCAACTTCAGTATATTGTTCGATTGGAAAGTGAATATCGTTGGTGCATTGGGAAGGTCAAAATTTAAAATTCCCAATGGTTTTCAAAAGCGCCGGGAAAAATAACAAAAAAATTAAGGAAAAACGGGAATTTTCACTCAAAATCGGTTTTTGACAAAATCGAATTTGGTTTTTGGTGTACCTTTAAGACAAATGACTGTAGGAACATGAAATTTTGACTGGTGGTTTATATTTGCCTTTTCTATACACGATAACATTTTCAAAATATTTTGATTTCTTTTGAACTGTTTAGGGACATTTTCCATTTTTTTTTAGTTTTTTTTCTAAAAATATCAATAAAATTTTATTTGTTGGGTAAAAAAGCTTGAAAATTTGATAGAAGGCTCCTAGTATATTGTTTCAA